CCGACCGGGCGACCGGGGAGGGGCTGGAAAGTGGGAGAAAGCGGAGGAAAAGGGGGGAGCAGCCGCGCCGCCCTCGGACCAACTCCTTTTCCTCCGCAGCCTTTTGAAAACATAAGGTGGCGGCGAGCACGTGTCCGCCGGCCGGGCCAATAGCAGCCCGGGGGAGGCCCCACGCATCCCTTGACATTTTCGGGTGGTCACATTTGCAAAATGAAAACAAATAGGTGGACTCGAACTCAGTGATCTGTTTTATGTAACCCGGTGCATGCAAAATGTTTTCATGTGTGGTCAAAACAAAGAAATTAATCGAGTTTTGCACACATACACCCTCCCCCCTCCATACTAAGTCTTCAAAATCGGGTGTGTGTTTTGTACTCGCAGCACATGTCAATCAAAATAACCCCATTTAGGAGTCAGGAGAAATTTGAAATATTGACCATTTTTTTAAAAAAAGAACAGTGTGCCTAAATATGTGGAAAGAGCTGGCATTCGGAGCATGAGTCTCGGAGAGATTAGTTTTAAATGGGATGAGCCTTTTCCCTGTGGGACAGGAAGAAGAAAGCGTGGAAAACGTTGAGAGAGTTTGGATCCAGTTCTTTTCTTCCTGTCCTCTGAGAGTGAGGGGGCCCTGCAGCGGCCAAGACTCTTCCTTCTGAGCGTGTGCTCCCAGCACTAGCACCTGGGAGCTTGTTAAAAATGCAGAATCTCAGTCTTCCTCCCAGAGCTACTGAATCAAAGTCTGCATTTTAACGGGATCTCCAGATGAGTCTTATGCACATTAGTTTGAAGAGCGCTGTAGTAAAAGTGTTAGGAGGAGGCCTGGGGTTTGTAACGGCCACTTATAAGGAGTGGGAGAAGCAGCATGGGGGTACCAGGCAGTGAATGTTGAGTCCCCACGGAGCTTAGAGATGATGCGTGGTGACACCAGTTTACCTGGTTGTGTGACTTACCAGCCTGCTTACAGGAACAGAGAATGAGAATGATTGGACTGGTTCAAGCCTGGAGATGAGCCGAGCAGGTGAGGGACGAGGACAGACAGGGTTGAAGGTGGCTGAAATCAGCTGAGGAAAAAAGAAAGCTTGGAGCAGGCTGATAAACCAGCAGCAAATGGATTAGTCAAGGGTTTAGTGGGATTGCAGAGCAGGTGAAATGAAAATAAGGTAGGGGGTGAGCTGGGGAGGTGGGAGATTGTGGCCAGAGAGCTGGTTACTGTAGCGTCAGAAGTCTTTGTAGACGTCATGCTCTCTCAACCTCCTGTTCCTTTTAGGAATTTCTTTTTTTTTAAATATACTGTTTCACTGTACATTCAGTGATGGGATAGCCTGTTACTTCCTTGGAAGATGTAGTTCAAAAGTTACTTATATAGGCCAAAGTTTGTCTGCCTAAAAATTCCATGTTGGTTCTAGTTCTGCCCAGTGGAATAACATAGTAACACAGTTAAACAAGTCTTTTCTGCTTTCTGCTTAATAACCCTCCAGATTCAACCTTCAAAGCTTGTGCAGCTATGACTGAATGGTATGGTTGTGGTTTGTAAGCAGGGTGGTGGACAGGGCCAGAGCTTAAGTCAGTAAGGGGTTTATCAGCGCACACTGAGTTGGGAGTCATTGATCAGCTGCCTCCTGCACCCCCCCTAATGGGGATGGATCCCACAACCGGGGCATGTGCCCTGACCAGGAATCCATTGGTGACCTCCTGGTTCATAGGTGGATGCTCAACCACTGAGCCACACCGGCTGGGCTTCACTCACTGTCTTAATCTAATCCATCCTTGGCCCACCAAAGCAGTTCTCTTGGCTTTTGATGCCGATGAGCTCTGTGAAGATGAGGCTTCTGCAGGCAGTCCTAAAGCTATATTTAGATGAATCTCAAATGGTCAGTTAAGCAGTCCTTACCTCAGTTGAATTTGGATTAGGGCTCCTTCTAACTAACACTCAGTGTCTTGTTTCATCTCTCCACTGCACACAGACTTCTGAATGGGACTCCGAATGCCTTACATCCCTGCAGCCCCTTCCTCTTCCCACACCCCCAGCAGCAAACGAGGCACACCTGCAGACCGCAGCCATCTCCCTGTGGACAGTGGTGGCAGCTGTGCAGGCAATAGAGAGAAAGGTGGAGGTTCACAGCCGGCGACTCCTGCACCTAGAGGGACGGACAGGGACAGCGGAGAAGAAGCTGGCCAGCTGTGAAAAGACAGTGGCCGATCTTGGGAACCAGCTGGATGGCAAGTGGGCCGTGCTGGGGACCCTGCTGCAGGAGTATGGGCTATTGCAGAGGCGGCTGGAGAACTTGGAGAACCTGCTGAGGAACAGGAACTTCTGGATCCTGCGGCTGCCTCCGGGTATTAAAGGAGATATCCCAAAGGTAGTACTTCACTTCTAGGTGGAAAGTGGTACCATTAGACCTTAGTAAGGGATAGTCTTAGGGACCTTGGACTTGTTTTGTGTTAATTATTTGGGAAGCATTTCATGCTCAGGGTTGTGATCATTTGAAATGTCACACTTCAGATTGGAAAACTCTTTCCAATACAAAGTTGGTGATCTGGCAGGTGGATTTTTTTTTCTTTTGCTTTCTCCTGATCATTACCCACAAGTCACTTTTTTAAATTATTTTTTTTTAATATGTCCATTTATTTCAGAGAGAGGGAGAGAGAGAGATTGAAACATCAGTGATGAGAGAGTCATTGATTGGCTGCCTCCTGCCTGCCCCTGCTGGGGATTGAGCCAGCAACCCGGGCATGTGCCCTGACCAGGAATCGAACCTCTATCTCCTGGATCCTAGGTCGATGCTCAACCGCAGAGCCACACCAGCGGGGCCAGTTGGGCCCCACAAGTCACGTGTGTGTGTGTGTGTGTGTGAGAGAGAGAGAGAGAGAGAAAATCTATCTGCCACAATCTTGGTGTGGAAACTAAATTAAATATCATTTAAATCAGTCAATTTGAGTTTTGGGTCAATTCTGGTGAAAAAGAGGAAAAGGGAAGGGATATAGGGAAAGTGGTTAACGTAAGGGTTTGGGGTGACCTTCAGGTCCAGGATTGACATAGACCCTGCTCCTTGACAGAAGCATGCTGCGATGCTGGGGCCCAGCCTTTCCAGATGGAATAGCCTTTAAAACAAAAGGAAATAAACATTATTCTTAAGCTGTGGAAGACAGCCTTGAGGCAGCTGGTTCCCAGCCAGGCCTGTTTGTTCATTCATTCAACAGATATTTCTCAAACACTTACTGTTTTGTTGATAATCTGCATCCTGAACCATAGCAATGAACTATTCCTGTAAACTGCCCTGGGGCTTAAATTTTAGTGGGGGAAGAAAGGTAATATAAACAAATAAGAAAATGAACACATTTAAGTGCTTTGATAAAAATGAAGGTGCTGTCTGGTGATTTACTTATTTATTTTTGTTAATCTTCACCCGAGGATATTTTTTCCATTGATTTCTTAGAGTGGAAGGGAGAGGGAGCGACAGAGAGAGAGAAACACTGATATGAGAGAGACACGGCAATTGGTTGCCTCCTAACTGGGGCTGGGGATGGAGCCTGCATCTGAGGTACGTGCCCTTAACCAGGAATTGAACCCAGGACCCTTCAGTGCATGGCCCGACGCTCTAACCAGTGAGCCAAACTGACCAGGGCTGAGGATATTTTTTCCATTGCTCTTCAGAGAGAGGGGGGGGGAGGGAGGGAGAGACAGACAGAGAGAAACATCAATGTGAGAGAGAGACATCAAGTGGTTGCCTCCCAACTCGGAGTGGAGAACGAACCCAAAACCTAGGTGTGTGCCCTTGACTGGGAATCGAACCAGTGCACAGGCTGACACTCTGACCTCTGGACCACACCAGCCAGGGCAGGTGATTTATTTTAGATTGGCTGTCAGAGAAGGTCTCATAAAGGAGCTAATATGTAGGCTGAGACTGATTGACAGGAAGGACCCAACTGTGAGAAGACCTGAGGAAGAGCTTTCTGGCAGGAAGATTACCTGGTGCAAAGTCCCAAAGGCACAGACAAACTTGGAGCATGAAGGGGAAGGAGAAGGCCCGTTAGCGGGTAAGCAGCGAGCCAACAGGAGCATGGCTGGAAGGACAAGCAGGGTCAGGTCCCTTAGGGCAGCGTGTTCAGCCCTGGCTGTACATAGGCATTACCTAGAGGGTTTTAAAATTTTGATGGACATCACACCTGAGGTTCTGATTAGGTCCAGGATGGGGCCTGAGCATGAATAATTCTTAAAGCTCTGTCGCTCATTCTGATTCGTGACTAGGTTTGTGAACCACTGAATGTATAGGGCATTGGAGACCAAGCTAAGGAATTTGGGTTTTTTCTTAGTGCCCCTAAGGGAAGAAATTGGAGGGTTTTAAGCAGAGGAGATACATCTGGTATGGATTTTGAAAGAATCACTTGGGCTACTATGTGGAGAATGGATCATGGGGGTAAGAACAGAAACGGGAAATTGATAAGGCAGCTGTAATGGTTGGAGGGATGAGCGTGGCTTGGATGAGGGTAGCAGTGGTGGAAATGGACACAAGTGGACAGGTAGGGATGTTTTGATGGTAGAATTATAGGATTTACAATGGGAATTAGGGAAGGAGGGCTTAAGTACGACAATAATTGTAAATTACCATGTGATAATTGACTTAGAACTTATTGTTCTAAGTGTTTTTGTTATTTCCATAAGAACCCTAACTTGTCTAAGGTCATGTAGTTACTGACATTAAATAACGGAGTTGTATTTAGCCCAGAACATGTGCCCTTAGAGACCTTAGGTTCACTGACCCTTGGGCTTTGCGCTTAAAGAACTGGATGGAGGTGTTGACATTTACTGAGATGGGGGTATGGGGGGGGGGTTGGGAAGGAGTGAGGAGTTTTCCCTTGCAGGTTGGCACGCCTGTGACAACACATTCAGGAGAGGTGTTAAGCGGTCTCTGAAGCTCAGAGGTGAGAAATATTAGGGAATTGTTGACGTACGGATCACAGTGTAAGTCATGGACCTGGAAGTGGTTAGCGCAAGAGAGAAAGTGGAGAAACGAGAAAGAATCCAAGGGCAAAGCTCCGGGGGTAGAAGGAGCGGCCATGAGGTGGGAAAAGGCACAAAGTAGGAAGGTATGTGGGATCCCAGGGAAGAGAAAAAGCGTTTCGAGGAGAGAATTGTCGTTTGAGGTGCGCCTGTTACCGAGAGGTCTAGAAGGAGGAGGTAGTGAGGGATTTGACGATATAGACCCGCCGGTGACCTTGGCAAGAGGTTTCAGGGCCCTGGCGGAGATACAACGCTGAACGGAGCAGGCTGAAGAGTCAGCGGGAAGAGAGGAAATGGAGACAATGACGTTAACTGACTCTTTCAAGGGAGAGGTACCTGGGAGGGTCTCAGGGTCAGGGTCTGAAGGAGAACCTTTCCCACAGTATGTTTTATTTGTGTCTGGAGCCCCTCCAGAAGTTTTTTAGGAGAGTTTAAACTTAGCATTTGCCATAAAGATAGCAGAAAAGGTAAGTTAAAGTTACTTACTGATTTCCCTGGGTAAATGGGTAACATTTAAGCTGTCCATCTTAAACTCTAAAATCATATGTAAAATAATGTGATTTCTCTTACAGATTTCTTAAGGAAATTATAGATAGTGAAGATTTACCACATTGATATATGTGAAGTAAACTTTGGTGTCCTTGCTTTGTTGAAAATGCCTTTATTCTGCTCTTATTTTTGAATTTCAAGTTGAAAATAATTTTCCCACAGAATTTTTTTAATTTTTAAAATTGTGGTAAAACATACATAAAATTTACCATTTTGACCATGTTTAAATGCACAGTTCAGTGGCATTAACTACATTTACATTGTTGTGCAACATCAGCACCATCCATCTCCAGAACTTCCCAAATTAAAACTGTGCCCCCATTAAACACTCTCTCCCTTCTCCCCCCACCCTGACCCTGGCTCCACCATCTACTTTATTTCTCTGTGAATTTGATGACTCATGTGAGTGAAATCACAGTATCTGTCCATTTGTGACTGGCTTATTGCACTAACAGCATCTCCCAGTCCATCCATGTTGTAGCACATCAGAATTTCCTTCCTTCCTTAAAAGATGAATAATATTCCATTTTTCTCAGAATTGTAAAAGCATTGGTCCTGGGTCTCACAGCATCACGTGCAATCGATAAAAAGTGTACTACCAAATGAATTCCCGTTTGTTTGTAAATTATTTTTTCTCTCTCGAAGTGTTTATCTTCTACTCATACTAGTTTTTCTAAAGTTTATTGAGGTGTAGGTGTCTGGGTGTAGGCCTTTTTAAATTTGTGTTGGGCAGCCTGGCCGGTGTTCTCAGTGGTTCAGCATCAACCCATGAACCAGGAGGTCAAGGTTGATTTCTGGTCAGGGCACATGGTCCCATTTTAGGCTTGATCCCCCAGTAGGGGTTGTGCAAGAGGCCACTGATCAATCGATCGATAATTCTCTCTCATTGATGCTTCTATCTCTCTCTCCCTCTCCCTCCCTTTCTCTGAAATCAATTTTTAAAAAAAACACATTTAAACTTGTGTTGAGCGGCTGGTATGACCTCTCAGTCAGAAGGCGGGTATCTTTTTAGCTCTGGGAAGATTTTTCCTGAATCTATATTTGTAACATTTCATCCCCTCCCCATTTTTTTTCTATTTTCATCCTGGAACTAGTTTAACAGGTGATATCGATTATTGTCTTTGTCTTTTGACTTTTCCTTCATATTTTTCATCTTTTTAACTTGAGTTCTGTGACTTTCCCTTCCAGCCTTCCTACTTTTTATTTTTAACAATTACACATTTTATTTTCAAGAATATTTATTTTCTGGTCCTTTTCAAAAAGCAGTCTGAATTTTTCTAGTGGCTGCAGTATGTGTTTGAATTTCTGGGACTGTGTATTAGAGGTTTGTTTGATTCTCGGTTTGTTTTTTTCCTCTAGGATTGTTTGTAGTGTTTGTTCATCTTGGTGCTACTATTACTATTTTTAATATTGAGTAATCGTTGGTTGTATATTCATATCTATACGTGGAGGATTCGATTGATTAATAGGTTAACTATAGGAAGCTGGCATGTCTTCTCGGCCACTGCATAAGTCTGTTTAACCAGAGTCTTCCCTTTGCAGAAGGGAGCTGGGTCTGTAGGTGCTCCATGCAGATGGGCTTCACTTTCAGGTGCCGTGGCAAGGAGCAAGTAGGCAGTGCAGGGACCACCCGGAGGCCAGGAGTAGGGTGCTACTCCTAGTTGTCAGACCTATACTGTAATCCCATGCTGTCTCCAGGCAGGGGGGTAAACTTCATTACAGACGAGGCTTGTGGTTTTACCTTTGTGATAAAGACTGCTGCTGCCAGGGCTGACAAGGACCACAGTGAGGCCCCACTATTCTAAAGATAGACCTTCAAACTGCAGTTTATAAATCACTTGCACTCCTACTCAGTATACCTGCCAGCTTTGAGCTTGGAATTCTCTGCATTCCTCACCTGCAGCGCTTTCCTGTGCACAGGGCTGGGCTGCTTCCTCATGCTCCTGGGACCTCAGCACCCGCCCATCCTCTGTGTCTCAGTGAGAAAATCATCAAAAATTCCAGTCTGTGCCCAGCCGGTGTGGCTCAGCGGTTAAGCATCAACCTTTCACCCAGGAGATTGAGGTTCGATTCCCAGTCAGGGCGCATGCCGGGGTTGCGGGCTCAGTCCCCAGGGAGAGGCCTGCAGGAGGCAGCTGATCAGTGACTCTTTCATCACTGATGTTTCTATCTCTCTCGCCCTCTCTCCCTTCCTCTCTCTGAAATCAATAAAGACATATTAAAAAATAATAATTCTGATCTGGTGATGGCCTCTCCTCCTCATTCTGAGAGAGGTACAGTCCCTCTCAGTCTTACAAACTGTCATTTCAGTGGAATTCAGGGAAGGAAAAGAAATGTGTTCTCTGTTCACGACCGTGAACCAGAAGCCCACCCTAATCCTTTATTTTTTGTCATTTTTTATTATCTGTATTTTTGTTGTAAGCTATCGCAAATGCTTTGTGCAGTGAGGTTAGATAAAAATAAACTGTTGAGTATCTACATTTGCCCTGAGACCAATTTTAGGTGCAGAGCAAGATGTGAAAACGAACAACATATGTCTGTAGCCTGTTTATACCCTACCTATCCTTTAGGACTAGCCAGAGTCCCAGCTCTTCTAGACTCACCACATCCACAGTATAGCTATTTCCAAAATTTCTTGTGCATGTCATTAATTTGAATATAGTCATGCACTCCTTTTGGGCAGAAAGCTTATTTTTACAATCCTGGTGCTTAGGATATGAATATACCTTGTACTTATGGGGCATTCAGAATGTGTTGTGTTGCGTGAATTAAATACTGCTTCTCATTTGTACCTGTGTCTGAGTGACTGTAGCCCTGAAGCTTATACCTTTCTCCTTGGAAACATTGTCAACTCCTGGAGGTTAGATCTGTGTCTTAATTTTTTCCTGTATCCTTTCAGCAGCTCACAGTTTTTTATACCTAGAAGGCACTTAGTGTAGGTTTATTGGGTGATTGAATTACAGTGGGAGGGACTGACCCCAGTGTCATTGTAATTTCAGGTGCCTGTGACATTTGATGATATCTCCATCTACTTTTCCACCCCAGAGTGGGAAAAGTTAGAAGAATGGCAAAAGGAGCTTTACAAGAATATCATGAAGGGCAACTACGAGTCTCTCATCTCCATGGGTGAGGCTGAGTTGGCACCTTGTGAGTGGATGGGGAGAAGTGATCTGGAATCTAAAGGAAATCCCCTTGGACCGTGGACCTCAAAGCCTTCAGCTCAACCTTGATGGCAATTAGTTGTCATTCTCATTTATCTCTTTGTCATCCCGCCTTTCCCTTCTTCCTCCTAGATTATGCCATGAGTCAACCTGATGTCTTATCTCAGATTCAACCCGAAGGAGAAAATAATACGGAGGACCAGGTGGGGCCAGAGGGAAGTGAGATTCCCACCGACCCCAGTGAAGGTAAGGGGGAGGAGAGATGGTGGCTCAGGACTGAGGAAGCAGGCCTGGGGGCTTCCAGAGCCTCTCAGTGCCACCACTACGTGACTGGATCAGTAGAACAAGCTGAGGGACCACCTCATCCTATGCCTTTGCCCATTAGTACCACACATCTGAGGGCTGCTAATTGCATCCCATGACACAGGTTGTGAGCCCTGTTTATTTAGTAAAATAAATATGTCTTTAGACGGCAGAACAGGCAGTGGTGCTTGTCTGGAGGGAAGTGGCTTCCAGGGACTGTAGACCTGGTTGGTGAGATGTGCTGGAGGGGCTGGGATCTGCAAGGTCACTCAGAGATGCACTTAACCAGACGTTGCCCAGTATGGGACCCACCTCTCATTAAATAATCCTCCCTAATATTTTTGGTTGGCAGCTGCTTGATTTTGTGTGGGAAAGGCTGCCAGTCAACATCCAGTTGTATTGTTTCTCTCAAGTCCTGCCTCTCTAGCAGATAAACCTTGAGGCATTTTTGTTCTTTGCTGGATGAAAGGCTCAGGAAATTCATCTCCCAAGATGTCTACTGGATGGACTTCTCCTATAACCCCACCCCTGTCCCGTACACTGTTACTTTTTTCTAACATGAAAATTTTCAAACAGAAAAGTCAAAATATTTTACAGTGAACACCTAGATACCTGTTGCCTAGATTACACCATTAACATTTTACTTTCTTTTCACATATGCCCATCTCTGTACCCCTCTAACCACTCATCAATCCATCCATCCTATTTTCAGTGTATTTCAAAGTCAGTAAGATATCAACACATTCCCCCTAAGTAGTTTAGCATGAACATCAACCTAGAGTTCAGCTTGTTTTTTACTTTTGAGATAAATTTTACATATAAAGAAATGCTCAAATCTTAAGTTGAGTATCCTCTCTGAGGTAAGCATATATCTGCCACACATTTTATTTTTAAGAATGTGTGGGTGATGGTATTTAGGCAATGTAACAAGTCGAATTTGATTAATAGCTGTGTCATGGGTATATGTAATGAGTCTAAAATAACATCACAAATAAAGATGGGCAACTTTATCACAAAGATTCAGTATTCTTAGTTACCCGTCATAGCCGTCAGCAAGTATAATCTATTACTAGGGCCAAACTGCAGACCAGCTGCGTGTGTATGGCCATTATTTGTTCACGGATAGTTTTAGTACTGAACTCCCAGTTTTTAGAATTCTTTGGAAAAAAACTACACAAGAAGTTCAGATGGAATAAATACTGAGCCCACTGTCCATCCCTCCTAGTTTGAAAGCTGTGGACTCAAGCCAAGATTTTAGAATGACCCAAAAGGAAAACAAATTTATTTCTAAATCTTGAAGTCCTGGGAGACTTTTTTTTTAAGAGATGGCAAGTTGTTTGGTTGTCTTTCCCTTTAAGTAATTTTCATTTTTCAATTACAGTTAACATACAATATTATATTAGTTTCAGGTGTACAGCCCAGTGATTAGACGTTATATGACTTACTAAGTGATCGCCTTGATAAACCTTGCACCCATCTGATACCATACATAGCTAGTACAATATTATTGACTCTATACTCTGCAGTACTTACATCCCTGTGACCAATTTGTACTTCCTAATCCCTTCACCTTTTTTACCCATCCCCCCAAACCCCTCCCACCTGCAACTGTCAGAATGTTCTCTATGCATCTGTTTCTGTTTTGCTTGTTTATTTTGTTCTTTAGATCCCACACATAAGTAAAATCATCTGGCATTTGTCTTCTGTCTGACCTGTTTTACTCAGCATAATACCCTCTAGGTCCATCCATGCTGTTGCAGGTGGCAAAATTCCATTTTTTATGGCTGAGTTGTATTCCATTGTATATGTGCACCACTTCTTTGTCCATTTGTCTATCGATGGACACTTAGGCTGCTTCCATGTCTTGCCTATTGTAAATAACACTGCAGTGAACATATGGGTGCATATGTCTTTTGGATCTAGTGTTTGGGGTTTCTTTGGATAAATACCCAGAAGTGGAATTGCTGGGTCCTTCGTTGTCTCTTGTTACAGCCTTCATTTTCAAGTCTATTTGGTCTGGTATAAGTATTGCTACCCCAGCTTTTTTGTTTGTTTGTTTCCATTTTCAGGAAATATCTTTTTCTGTCCCTTTACTTTTAGTCTGTGTGTGTGTATTCCCATCTGAAGTGAGCTGGGAAGATGTCTTTGGTCATTTTTGTTTCAGGTGCATCCTCATTGTCCCATGTTCACCCCCGTTCACTCTGGTCCAGCAAGGCCGTCTTTTCCTGAACAAAGTCAGTGATTAAAGCACACCCCAGTATACTGCTCTTATTTTAATTTACCCTATATGAAAACAAGAATCATCCTGGAAATGATAAAACTTAGAGGTTTTAAATTGTTACATAGATGCTTAACACATTCGGACTATGTTACAGCCCCACACCTGTTTCACAGAAAGTTTCAAAAAAGTATTTCTCTTTTTACCCATGGTAGTTCCATGTGTCATGGATTTTTTATTGTCTGCTTAAGGAGTCATATCTCAGTACCAGTTTTAAGTCAGTTTATAATACCTTACACATCCCAAAACCTCAGGGTTCCAGCGCCTTTCAGACAGCATGGCCCGTATCTGTTTAAAACACACACAACACAAAATCAGATTTCCTCCTCAGGTTGAAGTAACGTTCAGCCAGTGCAGACATTACAATCTTAGATTTCTTTGTGATCAGACTTTCTATTTTTAACTACCTCTCAAACCTAAATCCTCAGCATATATTGACTTCCTCCTACCTGATCAGTATTCATTTTTCTGGATTCTCTGGTTTTCTCCAGAGCCTGCTGTTGGCATAAACCAATGGTTTTACGTTCACTTTGTGTCTCTTTAAGTGTCCACTGTTTGGATTCCTCAGGCCTGTGAGGAACGTGCTTTGAGGGCCATTGTGATGACCTGGCTAGCAGTTGCCATACTCTCACCGCACAGGTGTCTGTATCGGGCTGTCTTAGTATTAAGGTTCCCTGTTCTTTCACTTCTAAAAGGTCCTCAAGATAAACAATCCCACCCTTCCCACTAAACCATGGTTGATATAATCACATTCTATGCATTCTATGGCCATAGGGGTAAGACCCAATTATTATTATTTAATATATATGTATTGATTTCAGAAAGAGGAAGGGAGAGAGAGAGAGATAGAAACACATGATGAAAGAGTCATTGATCTGCCTCCTGCACGCCCCCTACTGGGGATCGAGCCTGCAACCCAAGCATGTGCCCTGACCGGGAATCGAACTGCAATCTGGATCCTAGGTCAGTGGTCAACTGCTGAGCCATGCCTGGCTGGGCAAGACCCTATTATTTAATAAAGTAAGTATTAACTTACTTGTACTGATCTAGTTAAGTAACCAGAGGAACTTTAAGCATCGTTATTCAAAAAGAATGGTTAGCTTCCCGGGATTTCCCAAGTTCAGTGAAGACATGCTTAGCCAGTGAGCCGTAGTAACAACAGCCACTTACAGTTCTGGAGAACTGGCTTGGTTTTTTCAGCCCTGCATAGCTTTTATGGTCAGCTGCTGGCTAATACTGTAACGAAAGTTTGGAAGGAATCCAGGTGCCCATCACTAGGGAATTCTTGAATAAACAGTGGTGTAGCTACACAGAACAACTATGAAAGGGAGTGAGAAAGATCTCTGTACGCTGCTATGGACATGCCCAGAATATACTGTCAAGGAAAAAAGTCAAGGTACAGCACAGTTTGTGTAATGTGCCACATAAAGGGGGGACCACCAAAATGTATACATACTTGCTTATGTTTTCACAGAGAAACAGTGGAAGATTAAAACAAAAACCAGTAAGGACAGCTGCCTGTTCAGGGAGAGGGAGACTAGAGGTGGAAGCTAGACTTCTCTGAATGTTTTTACCCTCACCTGACGATACGTATTATTGATTTGAGAGAAAAACGTTGATTTCCCGTACACCCCCCAACCAGGGATCGAACCTGCAACCTAGGTACGTGCCCTGACCGGGAATCAAACCCATAACCTTTTTGGTGTATGGGATGATGCTCCAACCAACTGAGCCACCTGCCCAGGGCTATAGTTTTGATTTTGGAACCTTATAAATATTTTACTTAAAATATCAAATAAGTCAAACACATGCTGAAATAAGTAAACTGTGTATCATGTTGTACAAATGCATAGATTTCTTTCAAATGACTTTAAAACATAATATCTTACTCTATGTCCCTAGAGGGATGGGATATATCCTAATGACCAAGAGAACCACAAAAAAATGGAGTTCATACTTTTGTTAATAGTATTGGTATTATTTTGAAATATATGTTCATAAAAGTAGAGGTCATGTTAATGTCATTAGGAACCAAAATTTTCAGGGTAAGAGAGAAAAGATACAAGTATTAAATCAAAGGACTTGATTAAAATCTTGTAATCTTAAATATGAATATAAACGCATGACACTTTTTTCTTCTAAAAGATATGTATTTTATAGTTCCATCCATTGAAACACCTAGAAGCAATATTGAACCAACACTTAGCAGTTAGCATTCTTATCATCCAGACCATGGTCTCTAAATTCCATTCCTCAGAGATCATTGGTTATGTGCTTGGAGCAGGAAATGTCCAAGGTGAACCTGGGATATAGTTTGTCATATCAGAAATGAAAAAACAGACATGTTTGATGATGTGAAACGACATAGAGCAGATCTGAGGGGGCTCCTGGTGGCCAAAGAAGGGACAACTTGAGCATTAAAAAGAATAATGGCTACCATGGGTGGAAACTCATCAGATGTGTGACAGTCTATGAGTTCATAATGGTAAACCAAAAGAACGTCAGAGCCACTTGAATCTCTTCGAGGTTTCTGTAGCACTAACTTGTTAGTCAGAAATTTGATGCAGAGAAGCAATTAAGCATTCTATTTTATTAAGACTTTTAAATTGATTCTTAGAAAGAGAGAAAGGGAGATGGAGAGAGAGAGAAACATCACTGTGAGAGGGAAACATTAATGTCGATGGGCTGCCTCCTGCACGCCCCCCGGGGGGGATTGAGCCTGAAACCCAGGCATGTGCCCTGACCAGGAATTGAACCAGTGACCTTTTGGCACACGAATGATGCCCAACCCACTGAGCCACACCAGCCAGGCAGCAATTAAGCATTTTAAAAGACTCATATCACTGATGAATAGAAACTTTGTTCTCTGGATGTCTGTTAAAAGATCCTTTCCCTTATACCTAGCCTTTCCCCTCCTGCTTCTTTCTTTATATGTGTGTATAAAATGGAGGAAAAAGAAAAGATAAGGTGGAGTATGTTTGATACATTTCAACTTTATAGCTCAAAGTGGGATTTTGGAAAGGCAACCTGCCACATGTGCTACAGCCTGCGCCAGCCTCTGTGCAGCCTGACAGCCTTTGGGGCTGTCTTGTCCAAGCTCTTGTTCCTGCTTTGGGTACACCCTTGGACTTCGGTGGTCTCTGACCCAGAGGCACTGGGAAAACCAGTGAGTTCTCATTTTCTAGGAATAAAGCCATAACCTGCCTACAAGGCTTTTCTGAGAAATAATACAGAGAGCATGAATTTACTCTCTGAACCTTGTCAGCTTGTCCTTTTAGGCCAAAAAAGGTTGTATAGGCCTTGGCTGGAATAGCAAGCACAGCTGTTCCTCGCTGACCAGATGAGGCATGTTATCTGTGAGGCTTCTGGAGGCTGTTCTTTTTTCTTTCTGAAAGAACCCCCAAGGTCTGAGGGACTTACAAATACAATTCTCCCCTCTCCCAGCATTCAGGAAACAGTGGCCTGAATCGTTTAATAGGCAAAGGTAATATGATCTCTCCTAGAGCCAAAATTAGGAACCTGAAATTTATGTTTCTGAGGAGTCAGGTCTGTATTTATACTGACTTAACTTTGTATTCTGGAAGTGTTGCTTTTTTTTTTAAATTTTTTTTTATTGACTTAGAGAAGAAGGGAAAGGGAGAGAGAGAAACATCCATTGGCTGCCTCCTGCACAGCCCCTACTAGGAATAGAACCCACAACCTGGGCATGTGCCCTGACCACGAGTCAAACAAGCAACCTCCTGGTGCATGGAATGATCAGCCCACTGAGCCACACCAGCTGGGAAAAAGTGTATTTGTGTGTTTTTTTAAATATATGTTTGGGTTTTTTTATTGATTTCAGAGAGAGGAAAGGAGAGGGAGAGAGAGAGTTGAAACATCAATGATGAGAGAGTTGTCATTGATCGGCTGCCTCCTGCACGCCCAGGACTGGGGATCGAGCCCACAGCCTGGCCATGTGCCCTGACCGGGAATCGAACCGTGATCGCCTGGATCCTAGGTCGATGCTCATCCCCTAAGCCACGCCCAGCCAGGCAAAAGTGTATTTGTTTTTTAATTAACATTTAAGAAGGAAATTTTTGGTCAATCTTATTTCTTTGCTTTTTTTTTCTTCCTGTTGTATTTTAAAGCAAACCTCTGAAAATGTGGTGTTGCTCCATAAATACTTAGTCTATTTAACATCTATAGGCCTTGTCTACTTAAATGGAGAGAATATTCCTTATTTCGTTATTTCATAAAAAAGCTATGAGAGAGAAAAATGAAAATATTTTAAAAGTAATTGTGCTAATGAAATGAAAGGTATTACTGATTTTAGATTACTTCAGGGTGTTATCTCCAAAATAAAAATTGATTTGTTTTGAAATGGGCTTACTAAAAATAATGAATTAAGCTGAGTAGTACATCATGTAAAAATAAATAAATTTGAACTGGTTCCCTAGGTGGTGTGTGCATTTTTTTACTTTATTTTATTTTTATTTTTATATATCTTTATTGATTTCAGAGAGAGGGCAGCAGAGGGAGAGAGAGATAGAAACACCAATGATGAGAGAGTCATTCGGGATGGAGCCCACAACCAGGGCATGTGCCCCGATGGAGAATCAAACCCTGATCTCCTGGATCCTAGGTCAATGCTCAACCGCTGGGCCAAGCCCGGCTGGGCGGTGTATGCATTTTTTTAAAGGCTGGTTCTGTTTTGTTGTTATAGTTAGTTAGAGTTAAATTTGAGTAAAATGCAGTGTTCAACAAACCAGCATGATTATTTTCACTTTCTGATTCAAGTCCCTAAAGGCCATTGTCTTTTCCCCCCACAAACAGAGCCTGGCATTTCAACATCAGATATTCTGTCTTGGATTAAACAAGAGGAAGATCCCCAGGTTGGGGCCCCACAGGAGTCTAAGCAGAGTGACATATACAAGGGTACCTATGCTGGTGAGTAATGAATGGAAGAGACCTCCATGTCCAGGTCCAGCGTATGCCGGGAGTGACTGAAGACACAGCAGGTGAAACGGGTTGTGGAGGCAAGGAAGTGGGAGGAGAACGGGAAAGGGGGAAAATGGCGTGCTCAAGTAAGTTAGAAACGAAACCGAAATCAAACTAAGAAAAATTAAAATGAGGAAACACACTCTTAAGTGTGAAGACAAAATAGAATTCTCAGAGGAAGAAAAATGACAGGTGGACCAAAAACATGAGGATGGGGAAAGACAGAAGAACATTTAAAGATCACGGAGAAAGGATAGAACATTGGAACAAGCAGTGGAGACAGAAATGTCACTGGAGAGGCACAAGTGGGACCATCAATAAAGAGCTGGCCCTCAGGAACGCTGGTGGGAAACAAACAAACTACCTTCTTTCTAAGATAGTTAGCACATCTGTATTTTGCCATCTGAATTACAGAAGAGAATCTCAAGGTCAGAAGGGACCCGATGGTTTACGTAACTTAATGCACCTGATTTTTAATATCTTCTATGTTCTTTTAGACTCTAGGAAATAAGACAGTTTCTGCTCTTCAAGATATTTATACTGGGGACACATATCAATACTAGGCCTGCCTGTTGTTAAGTGTCAAGGGTGAGTGGGATGGATGACATACAAGAAACGGGAAGTTTGGAGAACATGTATTGGCTTTAGTTCACGTTTTTAGATGAGGCCTATGGAATGGTGTGAAGCCAGACCTGGGCCGCGGAAGACGGGTGTGATAGGGCCGGGGTCACGCGGAGAGCGGGTGCATTCTTCAAAAGGAAGGGCAGGATGAACAGAGGTGGGAAGTAGAAGTGTGTGCTTCGTTTTCAGGGACAGGAAGGAGAGAGCTAACAGTCGAGGATTTATCTGGCAGAATACAGAGGGAGGGAGTAGATTAATACAGGGTTTTAGGCCTGTCACAGTGGGCAACAGAGGCTCAGAGTCTGTGAGCAGAGGAGCAACCTAATGAAAGTAATGCTCGGAAGGTTGATGCCAAGGTGGTTCTTTCCACCAGAGCGTTGAAGAGGCTCAGTGGTAAGTTCTCTGATGATTCGCCACAGGGACCGTGGACGGTGCATGAGGAGACCAGCCCTCCACTGGGCTTCTTATCGGAGCCAGTTGAGAGCTCAGAGCAGTCAGAGCTGGCGAGGGGAGAGGGGTGCGCAGAGTTGCTGTGAGACTTCGGTGATGGGTGTGACTCCGAGTCCTTTCTTTCAGATGAACAGCTGGTTGTCAAAGCCGAAGGCCTTGCCCGAGCCTCTCTGTGCCCCGAGGTTCCAGTCACCTTCTCTTCCCCACCTGCAGCAGCAGCAAAGGACACTTTCTCTGATGTGGCTTTCAAAAGCCAGCAGCCTGCACCCATGACACCTTTTGGACATCCAGCCGCTGACCTGGCAGAAGCCTCTGAGGGACAAGTGACTTTCACTCAGTTGGGCAGCTACCCCCTGCCGCCTCCAGCTGGGGAGCAGCTGTTCTCATGCCACCACTGTGGCAAGAGCCTCAGCCAGGACATGTTGCTGACCCATCAGTGTGGCCACCCTGGTGAGCACCCCTTATCCTGTGCCCAGTGCCCCAAGCACTTTCCTCAGCAAGCCGAGCTGGGCAGCAACCCCCAGGCCCAGGCCAGTGAGACGCCCCCCACCTGCCCGCACTGCGCCAGGACTTTCACTCACCCGTCAAGACTCACCTACCACCTCCGGGTGCATAACAGCACCGAGCGCCCCTTTCCCTGTCCCGACTGCCCCAAGCGCTTCGCGGACCAGGCCCGTCTCACCAGCCACCGGCGAGCCCACGCCAGCGAGAGGCCCTTCCGCTGCACGCAGTGCGGCCGGAGCTTCAGCCTGAAGATCAGCCTCCTGCTCCACCAGCGCGGCCACGCGCAGGAGCGGCCTTTCTCCTGCCCGCAGTGTGGCATTGACTTCAACGGCCACTCGGCCCTGATCCGCCACCAGATGATCCACACGGGCGAGCGGCCTTACCCGTGCACGGACTGCAGCAAGAGCTTCATGCGCAAGGAGCACCTGCTGAACCACCGGCGGCTGCACACGGGCGAGCGGCCCTTCAGCTGCGCGCACTGCGGCAAGAGCTTCATCCGCAAGCACCACCTCATGAAGCACCAGCGCATCCACACGGGCGAGCGGCCCTACCCCTGCGCCTACTGCGGCAGGAGCTTCCGCTACAAACAGACACTGAAGGACCACCTGCGTTCGGGCCACAGTGGAGGCTGTGGGGGTGAGAGTAACCCATCTGGACAGCCGCCTGACCCCCCAGGTCCTCTCCTAACTGGCCTCGAAACCTCCAGCCTTGGTGTTAATACTGAAGGTCTAGAGGCCAATCAGTGGTATGGGGAGGGCAGTGGAGGGGGAGTTTTGTGACCCTCCCTCTCCAGGTGGTCCATGCTCTCACCCAGGGCAAGAGAAAGGCCCACGAGCCCCTCCACCTCCGCAGTAATCACTATTGACTGGCACATTGATGCATTTGGGGCCCTATGCACTTGACTAGAGATATGCTTGCATTTGGGGACTTTACAGCATTACAGAATCACATTTTGAAACCCAGAAAAGCCTGGAAAGGAGCCCAGCATCCCCTTCTTTTCAAAAATGTGACCTTAGCAGAAATTGCAGAGAGATAGGAAATCAAGATTTGGCCTCTGGTAATTCATCACAGGGTAATAGATTGAGAATGATCACAGCCCCAGGTAGAAACAGGTGCATAGGAAGAGCCCCCAAAGCTGGAAGCCCATCTGAGGCAGAGCTGTTTCCCTGAGCCTTTCATTAGCCCCCTGATGGTAAGACAGTTGTCAGAAGACAGTGTGCAAGCCTCGTCCCCTTTCCTGCTCCTCCCAACACCTGCTAAAGTCCGCTCGTGTGCTAATGGACTGCCTCTCCCCAAATGACAGCTCAGTGCAGCCTTCCTAGGTTCCCTAGACTAACTCTTCTGAGTACATTTTGTTAAATATTGGGTGAACAAAAAATCTGACTTTAAAAGCTTCTCAAGAACAGCACTTGACTTTCAGCAGCTTGATCTGCAGCATTCAGCCTCACTGGCATTTAAACTGCTGGAAACCTCTGCCGAGGCCCTGGTTAAAAAGTTGGGGGCAGTGTTCTCAGCCCCAATTTAAAAGCTAGAGATCCCAGAGAACAGCCTAACGTTTGTGCCCAAACCATGTTTCTTGGAGTCACTTACTTCCAATTTCTCCTTCTGGTTTACAGGCCAATAAGATGACTTTCCCATTTCTGGTGTTTGATATTGATAGTCCTGAGCAGAAAAGATCACAGATCTTTCCATAAGCATTACGGAGTTTCAGAAAGTGCCAGTGGACATCCAGTTTTCGTCTCCTCAGTAGTGAGGTGCTAGTGTTATAAGGCAGCTTTCTTAAGCCCTCAGAGTGTTTGCCCATCTGGCCATTCCCACATTGGCAGTGGACAGATTGGGGAACTTCACAGATCACTGAGAGCTGAGCACCGGCCACAGACAGGGATGGCCTCTTCCTGCTGGTTTTGATCTGGGGAACCGTGGCTACCATGTGTCCTTTTGTGGGGAATCCTTCAGTCCCCTGGGAGCATCTGAGCCTTGTGCTGCTCCTAAGTGGCTTTGTCATTGGGTGTAAGTCCCTTTCTTTCCCTTTACAGATCTCAGATTTTTGTTTGGAAAATGAGGCTGGGGAAAGAGAAAAAGTGAGCTTCTAAGAAAAATTTTTTTTGTGTCTTGTGATACGTTCTCTCTCCTGCCAAAGTCCTATCTCTGTCTCTGGCTTCTATCCAGGCAAAGCCAAATAAGCAGCAAAATCAAAGCAGAGACATTCCTGCTGGAACTTGACTGAAGTCAGCCTGATCTGTTGTTTTGCTCTTGCTTGGAGCCTGAGGGAAGGCAGAGCATGCAGAAGCCCGAAGTCAGGCAGAAAGGCTGTTCATACCCGCACTCTCTGTTTCCCCTGAGTCTTCCTGAGGTGCCTGGGGACAAGGTCTGCGGGTAGTTAGGACACTTTGCTGATGAAATGGTACGGGGAGGACCCCCTTTTTCCCTTATCACCTAGCCCAGCCTTTGCCCTGCCTGGTGGTGCATAACCACACTAGGAAAAAGCGTCATCACCCCAGCCTGCTCCTGGGCAGGCTGTCTGAACATGCTGCCCCTCAGGATAGTCACAGTGATAGCATCTGCTCTATGACATCCGCAGTACCAGGAATCGTGGAGACCGAAGAAATGTTTGTGAGACCATAACTTACAGAGTGAAGGCGACGGAGAGACCTAAGGGTATAGAACCAAGACGTGAGGAGCAGAATGCTGGCCTGTTGAGAGCTTCCTAGCTAGGATGTGGACTCATACTAGGAGAAAATTGGGGGGTTCTGGGAATTCTGGTTTTACAGGTGACCCAGTAGGAACATGAGTGTTTTGATCCAGCTCTGGTTGGCATCTAGAGAAAAGGGAAAGGAGTCAGAGTCTCACCTTGAGGTGGTGCAGCCCCTTCCCTGAACAGGTTTAAGCACTTACATGGTGTGCTGGAGGAGGAACTCCAGGTTTCACGTCGGACTGGGTAACGTGGAAAATTCATTCTTACTCATTGATTTACTGAGACACGGAGCTTACTAATGAAAGAGAACCCCCGTGGGTTGGAATGCTGCAGATAGTCCCTCAGGTCCTTGTGCAAGGAGCTGTGGTCAGCAGGGTCCCAAGCTTTGGCAAGAAGTGAACACAGTTCAGATACCAGTGAAGCAGGAGCCATGATGCTGAGTGAAAGGGATGGGCAGGGCCGTGGCAGGAAGACAGAGGTAGAGGCTGTCTTAATCTCGGCCCTGGTACAGACTAGGAGTTCAACCAGGGTGCATTCTGGTCTCCTCTCCCTCCCAGTCCTCCACCAGGTAGAACTCCAGGCCAGCTCCGAGTTTGCCTGAGGTTCAAGAATGGGTAAGTACAGTGGATCAGTGGAAAAGGTTAAGTCCAACAGAAAGGTTTCAGGTTGTGGAGGAGCTTAGTCCATCAAGGGCTCCTGAGAGAAGCTGTGCCCTTAATTCAGCAGTTAAAGATGTACCTGAGGGTGGGTTGTCATTAGCAGATGTGACAGGAGAGAGGAAAAGCCAGGAACATGCTCATCTGTCTGCCCTCTGGACTAAGAAGTATTGTCACGTGAATAGGCACCATCCCACCAGAGTGGGTCCAGGGCTCGACTGTAACCAGGTTCACTCTGCTTACTAGGTTTTCATTGTCACTGTGAGATGAACCTCTGGTTCAGCTACAGACGTGAAAATAAATGGAAGTTGATTGTCTAGAAAGCGAAAGCTATGGCTGATCCTTTCTGCTGAATATTCGATGTTGGCAACACCATCACTGGGCTCTACTTTACATACTCCCCTCATTGGTAACAGCCCACAGAGGTCCCACTAGGGGCCTGTGGGGCTGCTCTTTGGGGCATTTTTGAGAGATTTGAGTGTCCCTGCCTATCTCAATCAGGCCCAGACCCTATGGCTCACTGGGGAGTAACAGACGCTCGCTGTCTGCAGGAGCCTTGTTGGTATAAAAGGACCTGAGTTCCTGCATCTGTTCATTCCAAATGGTTTGGAGAACCCAAGTTTCTGCTCCAATTTCCCCTTAAGGAGGGATAAGAAAGCACCCTGTCCCTTCCCCCATAGCAGCCCAAGGGCTGCTCAGCAGCTGTGAATAAAAGCAAGTCTTTCCCCACAGGGCTCTTATAGACCAGGGACTGTTTATGTTCAGATACATGCTTTGTCTGTGTGATTTGTGGATACCTTTGACCCTGTTCCCTTCGCTGCAAAGGAGGCAGGGATTGTACAGAGAACATTCTTTGACTGGTGTCAGGCTCACACAGCAAAAGGTAGTCAAGTTAGGTCAGGTCGGGGGTGGGGGAATGGTGGCGGGCAGTGCTCAGGGCCTAGCCTGAGGCCACGTCAAGGGAGTGAGTACAGCTTCATGGTGCAGAGCAGGGGTGGGGACATTCGGCCCGCTGGCCGCGTATGGTCAGGCCCACTTGGTGAGTTAATTCACCAAATACAGCAGGCTAACTCTTAAGTTGATATTTTGTATGGCCCACGAATGATGTTATAAATATCCAAATGGCCCTTGGCAGGAAAGTTCCCTACCCCTGGTTTAGAGCATGCGCTCAGACCTAGATTCAAGGCCTGGTGCCAGCAGAGGGAGCATAGCATACATGCGTTACTTGCCATCATGGCCTAGTGTCTTTACCTGCAAAACTGGAAGAAGGATACCTCTGTCTCAGAGGTGTTAGGTTAGGGAATACCTGGGAGAGGGCTGAGCGCAGAGCCTGACACCTTGTAGAAGGTGTCAGGATGGCAGCCGTCAGGTGTGCAGGGCTAGCCAGAGCAAGGGCCGTAAAGCTTGCGGAGCCCGAAGCAGAGTGTCGATGGCACCCCTGATTCCTGACATCTCCGCTTTTTGCTTCTTGCTTCCGTGCAGCCTGCTCTTTGACTCTGCCTTTCCTGTACTGGCTCCCACACATTCCTGTGGGTCAGGACACCCTGTGGCTCTGGTTCCCTTGGTTTTTCTTAGTTTGGATTCTAAGGGCTCTGGCCCAGCTCCTCTATACCAGACCACAAGTTTTCCGCCAGCCCTTGGATTGGCTGCCCATGGGTTGCATGCTGCTCTTGGCTCAGTCAGCTGTGGTCGGGAAAGAAGGTCCTGTGGTCCCCGCCCCAGGGTCTGTGACTTGAGAATGGGCAGACGCTGGCACAGTTTGGCATTTCTGCTACCACTGGGAGAGGAGAGCAGCTGCTTCACCTGCATGTGCCTCACCTGCATCAAGGTCCCTTAAAGCCGCCTACTCATGAGCACTGTCAGAGACCAGAGCTTACTGTCTCTTGCATAAGGGACCTGGAAGGTGCTGTTAACACATCTTGCAAAAGGAGTGATTTGTCACTTTCTAGGGTGTTATTCCTCCCTTGCTGGCCCTGCTCCAGTTTAAGTGTATAACTCTGCCCATAACTTCATATATGCACACACACACATATATATACATGTGCACACACGTACATAACAACTTTTGTCAACTTGGTCAAATTGCCTCTTCAAGACAAAAAATCATGTCACCCCTAAGACCATCCATCCACTAAATGCAGAAAGATACAGTCTAATCAGAGAAGCCTCAAAGGCAGCATGCTGCAACGCTCTGAGCATTGTCAGGTTGCTTTTGAAGTAAAATAGCGGGTAAGCCCGGCCAGTTTGATTCCGTTGTTGAATGTTGACCCATGAACCAAAAGGTCACGGGTTCAATTCCTGGTCAGGGCACATGCCCAGGTTGCGGGCTCCATCCCCAGTAGGGGGCGTGCAGGAGGCAACCAATTGAAGTGTCTCCCTCGTTTCTCTCCATCCCTCTTCCTCCCTCTCTCTGAAAATCAATAAAAACATTTAAAAAAAAAAAAAAAAACAGCTAAAACCTCACTGGGCTACGTGGCTTTGTTTTTATTAGCAAAGCCGGTATTTGCTGTGAAATCTTGAAGCTGGTCTAAAGATTAAGCTACCCGAGAATGGAGCCCAAGTCTTACTCTATATTCTCCCTGGTGCCGCCTGCTGTTAGGGGTGTGGATGGTCCATGAATAATTGTGCAGCGGGAAGACCACCTGAGCAGGGCTTAAAAACCAGACTCTGGTCCGAGCTTCACATTCTCCGCCTTCCTGAAGTGCAGCAAGCCGCTGGGTTTGTGGAGGGGTCGTTTCCCGGACTCTGATGTGCACCGTGAACAAGACGGTGGTGTGAGCTCGCTTCCGACTCTAAAAGCATAGGCTCTAAGGTGTGACTTCCCGGTGGCTCCCCTGTCTGGTTTCTCTCCAGCTTCAGCCCCTCCGAACAAGCACCTTGGAGAGGTAAGCATTATTACGGAATAAAGAGTCTCGTTCTCGTTACTCCAAAGCCACACAAACTGACAAAACTTCAGCAAAACTATAACATTTTGTTGAAAATAGTATGCCACTGATTGCATTTTTTAAGGGTAGGAAAACACACCAAAATAACTGGTGGTTCTAGGGTGCTGGGGTCATTCAGTGGTTATTTTATCCTGTAAATTCTGTGTAACATAAAATATTTTGTGTATAGCATTCTTAATGCTTTTATAAGAACAAGGATTGTTTTATTTTTAAATATGTCTTTACTGATTTCAGAGAGAGAGCGGCCCTGCACGTGTGGCTCGGCGGTTGAGCATCAACCTAGGATCCAGGAGGTCAGGGTTCGATTCCCGGTCAGGGCACGTGCCCGGGTTACAGGCTGGATCCCGTCGGGGGCATGCAGGAGGCAGCCGATCAACGACTGTCATCGTTGATGTTTGTATCTCTGTCTCCCTTCCTCTCTCTGAAATCAATAAAATATATTTTTTCTAAAAAAAAAAAAAA